TGCTCCCCATTCAGATGGAGAGGTTTTTAAAGTGAATGAAAGGGAGCACACAGCCATGGGGGCTGCTCTTCCTGCTGCCAAAGTTCCTGCTGCAACACAAGGAGGTTCGTCATACTTTTGTGTTACCTGGATACATTAAAAAGAAAAAAGGCGTTGCATCTGTAAGATATTTGCTACCATTTCTGCATCTTCAGTCTTTAAAGAACAGATTGATTGGCGTTAATATTAAAATCATTTACTGCATGACTTATCCAAAACATGAACAGGGTTGTGCTGGAAAGAACTGACAAACTACCTGCAAAAGATATAAAAAAAAGAGAAATGGATAGGATAAATATTGTTATTTGTCTGAGAATGCCAAATAAATATACAAAATTAAATTAAGTTTTCTAATTTGTTTGAAAGCTTTTTAATTAAACAATTTCCAAGATCAAAATTAATCTTTTGTTTATTACTGGGATTGAACCTTATATATTTAAACCTTGAGGTACATTACTCTTAGGAACAGTATCGAAAGTTTTTCAAGACTGCAACATAAAGTTGACATTTACAGGACTGGCCAGCTAGCAGGGACTAAACTTGATTTAACGGCTCCACCTGGTGGTGGCTCCTCAGACTCCACAGGAACATGACATTTACTTTTTTCAGATTATGAAAAATGGGATTTCAGAATAGTATTACAGACATACGTCCTTCTATGCCAAAGACAAAAAACAAACATTAAAGTTAAAAAGTATGAATAAACAGAATTTTACAGTCAGGCAACAACTGCTACAACTTTATGAACAGGTTATAGTTACTGTATGGTTTTACTTTTACTTCTTGCCTCAGTGCAGACACCAAAGCTATCTTATATCTTTGGATATGCTTATTCTCTGCAGGACCTTTTGTCTTAATTTGAATATATCCCCTCTCAGTTTGTGTTTTTCCACTCAAAATGAAACACTGCAGAGAGTGGATAAAAATCTTCTGATTTCCAAAAGGCTAGCTTTAGCATCCAATTAGACCAAATGCCATGCATCATACAACAACTCCTCATGCTGACTTCGGGACCAGCTGGGAAACCAGGTTGTAAAAATAACTCCTAAGTGAATTAAATATGTCTTACACTCAAACATTCAAACAATTTTAATCATCATCATTTATTACTAATAAATAATAACTACTTTATTCATCAAGAAGTACTAAAACATTTAAAGTCAGTTATATACTTTCAAATAGTTTTTAATTTTTAGGACATATTAAAATCAAATTCATTTAGATTTGCAAATATTCCTCATTTACAGATCACTGAAAGGAAAAACGGTATACAGTTTTACCTATTTATTAGTGATTAAAGCAAAGACCTACTGAAGCACGACTTTAAAACCAGGATAGATATTGAATTATGATTTTTTTGTTTTTGTTTTTTTTACGTTACACCCCTAATCACAAGTGATATGTAAAAATATTCTGAAATTGAATGTCCAGTGAAGACATTATGAAGCAAATACTGACTATCTGCAACACTAATGTTGAAAGGAAGAGATCAATAAATGCAAAATTTTTTATATCATCTTTATCTTCCCTGTGGTTGCAGACTCCTGCCTGGAGAATCCTTGTCTGAATGGGGGAACTTGTGTCGATGGTGATCCACTAAGGTGCATTTGCTTGCCTGGTTATGGAGGAGCCTTGTGTCAAAGAGGTGTAGTAACAAAAACAAAACACATTTCCTGTAATCCAAGAAATAGTCTGCAGACTCTTCCCACTAATGTGTTTTGCTGTTTATCTGGACTCAGATGTGGAGGAGTGTGAGCCAGGTTGGGAGAAGTTTCAGGGCTTTTGTTATCGTCACTTCAGCAAACGGCAAAGCTGGGAAGCAGCGGAGCAGCACTGTCGGTTGTGTGGTGGACATCTGCTTTCTGTCATGACTCCTGAGGAGCAACATCACATCAACGGTAAAACCTCGCTGAGGAGAGTGTCTGTATGCTGAGAGCGCTTGAAATCAAAATCAAGTTTTTTGTTTGGGAACAGTGTTTTATTCTATATATAACTGATTCTGAAAAAGTGCACAGCTTCCAACCTAATGATAAAAAAAGATTTAAAAAATATAACTGATTCTTTTCGAGTCATTCTTTTGTTTAATTTTATTGCAATTATTCCATCAAAAATCTGAAAAATCCTCAAACCTGCTTTTGTTATTACATAAGTAATAGTTGGTTCAGTAGTACTTTTGCCAAAGTTATTAAGAGTCACTGTGGAAGTCATGATGGTGGCTTGTAAAGTGATCTCCAACTTAAACAACTCACCATAGCTGTTGAGGATGACATGGTAAAATAGTTTTGTTCTTCCTTCAACTGAAAAAACCTATTTTACACAATCACAAAAACACTTCAGAGCACCACTCCATTAACCACCTGAAACAGATATCAGCCCAGGGATCTTCCTCCCCAACATTCCTCATTTTCAGACACTTGAAAGATCTCAAGTGCTAAAAATGTGTCCTGACATGACAGAAAAGGGGTTTCATGTCTTTCAACTTATGGTATCCGTGTTTTTCTCAGAACGCTTCCCGGTTGTAAAGTTCTTGTCGACATTTTGTCTGGTGGGGGGCGATGAGATCGTTATCTGACATTCCACTGGCTCCTCTTTCACGCACGGCTCATTTTACCTGTACATCTAAACGCTCTGAAGGAGTCAGTTTAACAAAAGTCAGCATTATATCATAAAATGTGTAAGAAATTCAAAAGCAGATTTATACTCTTTACATTCTATGATGTTTTGCTGCACATTTTTTAAAATGCTGTCCTTAAACAAATCTAACTTTCCTTCAAATAGTCAAAGAAGATCCAGGTCCACAGTTCATTTTTGCGCCTATAAGCTCTTCCACAGAAAGGATGTTCAAATTTAGGTTACAGGTTTGAGTAGGTGAAATATAAATGAACAGTTAATTCTTTCTGTATACTACTTACATATCTTGACAAGATAAATTATATTTTTATATTTAGATAAATACAGAGAATATCAGTGGATTGGACTAAATGACAGAACCATTGAGGGAGATTTCCGCTGGTCTGATGGAAACCCTCTGGTGAGTTTTTCCAGGACTTCTCAAACTGTTTTGTCTTTTACCAGAATTTTGACTTTTTATTTATTTATATGTTTTTCATTTGTTCCTGTCAATTTAGTAAATTTAGTTTTAGCTTGCACCATCTTTTCTTCTGAATTATGCTCAGTCATATCATAAAGCTGGATTTGATTTAGCATCTTCCTGCTTTCAGCTCTATGAGAACTGGTACAAAAACCAGCCAGACAGCTACTTCTTGTCTGGCGAGGACTGTGCGGTGATGGTTTGGCACGATGGCGGTCGCTGGAGCGACGTGCCATGTAACTACCACCTGTCCTACACCTGCAAGAAGGGTGTCTGTGAGTTTTCTCTGTTGAAGAAAGACCTTTTCCTTTTTGGATTCCGGTTTTAAGATTCTAACTAAAGCTGGTTCCAACAGCGTCCTGCGGAGAGCCCCCTCGGGTCCACCATGCTCTGGTGTTTGGGAAGAAGCGGTTGCGTTACGAGACCAACAGCAGGATCCGGTACTACTGTGAGGAGGGCTTTGTACAGAAGCTCAACCCTGTTATTAGATGTCTGCCTGGAGGCCACTGGGAAGCGCCTCAGATTACCTGCCTGCCAAGTGAGTTTGTTAAATGTCCTGCCTCTTATTAGCAATCACAACCAATAAATTACAAGCCTATTTGGCGTCATATGTTTCTACATTATATATTATATATTATCTTTGACCAAATAACAGTATTGGTTAGAAAATATATTGGTAACACTTTATTTGAAGGCGGTTGAATAAGACTGACATGACACTGTCATAAACACATGTCATGAACATGAATAAGCCTTCATGAATATGACATTTTGAATAATGTCAACTTTGTATTAAAAGTGTCATAATTTAACAAATGACGCTTTATGACAATAGTCATAAATATGAAGACTTATTGATGTTCATGACAGGTGTTATGTCATGTTTATGAAAGTGTCACGACAGTCTTATTCAACCCCCTTCAAATAAAGTGTTACCAATATATTTATTTGTAGAACACACAGTCATCTTGTTTTTGATAGATCATTCATTTTAACAATAACTGAAGAAATACTTCTGTTTTCTCCATCTTTAGCTCGTACAGTGGAGGGAGATTCCTCGCCTTCCCAGCCTGACCAGCATGAGGACGTCATGGTTGCAGCTGCAGAGAAAGCAGCACCACTTTACTGGGATATAAAGTGGAATTTTTAATGCCATCTTATCCTATGAAGAAAATAAAAACACAGTTTTTCCCTGATTAATGTCTTAAAGACTCTCCTATTGAATTATCACATTATGGTTGTCTGTGTAAAAGAAAACAACCTCAGCTGAAAGTGTTTTGATCCAAATATCTGTCTTACTGTGCTGCAAAGAGTGAAGTTTGTTTTAAGAAAAGGTATTGCAAAATGACCTAAACGTGCTTCATAAACTAGTCAGCCACAGTAAATTTTCTGTCAAAGAATTAGAAATGAAGAAAATTGATGGACATTGTAAACCATGAGAAAATGATAACTTTAATAATAATACTAATGTCTTTGGATCCAATAAAAATTACAGCAGAATGTTTGTTTTTTGTGTAGAAAATCATAGCTTAGATATCCATGGAAAAAAAATCAAATTTGCTTGAGTAAATTATTAATAATCGGAAATGCAGTAACAATTGTGACTCAAACACAATACATGTATTTGAAATTTACAAATAAAAGTTAAGTTCATTTTTTCATTCCAATAGAAAGTTAATGATCAATATTATTGGTTTACATCATCAGGAATACTGTTGAATAAATCTGAAAATGCTAAATCAAGACTAAAAGATTGAATTTACTCATTTGCCATCATGATTATGTGCAGTTCATTTTATGCATTTCTTAGAAAAACATATTTTCTCAGATTTTGATTTGTTTGTTGTGTTTTTTTTTTTGTTTTTGTTTTTTTTGCACATTGTGAACTTACTTCCAGAATCAACAACTCTGACATCCATCAAAGCCCCAGTGGAGTTGTTTGGTTTGTTCTTTGGAGTTTGAAATTTTATTCAATAAATGCATCAAGCAAATCTCTGAACAACAGCAAACAAGTGAACTATCTTTCCTTCTCAAGTGACTTCAGCAGGCAATTAGTTGCCCTCAATAGCATTTAGGGGAATCAAATTATTCAAGACTGGAAGCAAATGCACACCACACTTTTCACATTTTTATTTGTGAAAATTAATTTAAAAACAGTTATTTTTCTTCAGCTACACATTTAAGCATTTCTTTATAATGTTCTAAGAATCCCAATGAAATACTTCATGTTGCTTTGCTGCCTAATGTAAATGCAAATGTTGCCATTTATTGTAATAACTTTGACTTTCATGTTAGTAAGGTTATTTTAAAAGCTAAATTATAGTTAACTAATTTATTATCTGCTGCATGTTTTTGCTGAAGTATTGTGTTTCAAATTAAAGCTGAATAAGTCAATGTACGTTGATAAGAATACAGTTGAATGTGGTCAAAACTCAGTTTAGCAGTACAATATTACAGAAATGTCACTGTCACTTTGTAACTAAACAGTCTGAACTACCAGAATTTGTTTTATGCATAGAGTTTCTTAGCAGGCCAAATGATATATGACTCACATCTCTTCTAGCATTCTCTCTAAAGGTTTCTGTAGGCCCTGCTTATGTTTTTTTTTTTTTTTTTTTTTTCCCCACGGAATTGAAGGCATGTGTTTATTTTCACGCTGGAGCTTTAGATAGCTCAACCATGTTTTAGTCCGATGGGACGTTCTGAAGAACTGATGCATATCAGGCCAGTAGGAGTTATCTCTATGTCTGGATAACAGACTGTATTCTGACTAATGTTTGCTTTGTGCTTTGTGTTTGAATTTGCTAACATGATTACCTGATCCAGAAATCTGGCCTGTCAGATTAAGTTCACATTGTCAAACTCATGCTGGTTATCACACCTGAAGGAAACTACGGCTGCTCAATTAAACTCCAGATCTTGCAACGCAACTTTTCCTCTGCTGCAGGGAATAATGGGCATAATGACAAAGCTAGATGATTCAATAAATCATTGATTTTTAAAATGTAATGCAATTTGTTTAGATAAAAGTGCCAACAGTACACAGTGCAGACAGTAGTGAACCAGATGATTGTTCTTGCGAACTTTGACTCTTCTTGTCTTTTGGTGCTTTTTAAATTCTGCTTTCCTTCAGACTTTATAGTGTCTTCTTTTAACCTTTTATCTCACTAAGATGGAAGATTTTTTTAGCCATCAGCCTTCTGTTCTTTATTCACTTGCAGTGATATAATTCCTCTTAAGTTTATGGGTTGCAGTGTTCTGACTAAATTGGGACAACTTTTCCTCATTTCGAAAAAGCAGATATTTTGCATCAGATGCAAATATTGCTCACATGATGTTTTCTTCATTTTAGAGAAATGCTGTAATACATCGATAATAAAGATCATGTTGAATGTTTGTTTAATTAATGAAGGGACAATGAAGTCTACATAAAAGCAATGAAAAGGCAATAATTTTATAACATAAGTGGAATTTATACTCTTAAGAGCTGTCGATTGATTTTAACTCTATGAAAATGAAAATTATTAAAATTGCTGTGAAGAAATAAACATGTGGTCCCCATTTATCACCAAGCAACAAATACGTTAATCCCTATAAATATAGAATGAGATAAAATTGTTTCTCTTGAATGGATTAATGAAGCTTTAGATGTCAGAAATCAGACATTCAGGACAACACCTGTCACATTTGGATGCAGAAACAACAGGAGGGGTTACATTGAAACTGTGTTTAATCTCATTTGTAACCAACATGTTTCGCAAGTGAAACTTTTATTTTCTCTCTAAAGTAATGTGAATTTCTGCTTAACTACAAATGTTCATTTAATTAATCTGCAGCATTTAGAAGAGTTCCCAGTAAATCTTAGTCAAGTCAGAGTTTAGTTCCTGCACTTTGCACATGGATGAATCTGAATTTGATGGTTACATAGTTTGATCCAATTACAGTGAAGAATGTTACCACCAGATGATGCCAGTCAGCCATTTGTGACATACTGGGGACTTTATCTTGTCTTGATTGAGAACGTTTGAGCACGAAATGACACCCGGTTCAAGTTAAGTCGTTTTTCATATTATTTAAAAAAATCACACACAAATGTATGAACCTGCCAAAACTAATGCAATGATTCACACCAAGTCAGAGAAATATGCTGAATGTCATCTGGAATGTAATCCAATTTTTTACCTAGATAGTTGTACAAAATCATGCTAAATATTAGGATAATTAAAAAAAATATATTTTATTGTGGCAAACACCAAAGAGCTTGTGACCCTAATTAGAAGCAAATCTAAGGCTAATTTATTAACAGTTGTTGTTTGCTGTAAGTTTATTCATCCTTTAATAAGCCCACAGGAAGCATGACAGAAACATTACATGGAATCACCTGATGGTTTCCGCATCAGTCAAGAAGTTGTTTTAAGCTGAGTTGATTGTTCATCTGTACTGTTAAATGTTTAATTTCCTACTTTGCTTGTTACACCATTGATCTCAACAGCGTCTGTCACCTTTAAAGTTAACTCCATTGTTGCCACCGTTCTCAAGCTTGGATGCCAAGTTCTTCTTACACTGATTTTGTCTTTTCTAACATGTGTTATCTGTAACAATATGCTCCATAAAGGTGAGTCGTTTTGCTGGGGAATCCAAATGTGCGGACCCCTGCTTCTGGGACGCCTCCACAGCGTTTCCTGGGGCTGACGATGGGAAAGCGTACGCTGCCGTCTTTCAGCCAGCCACCATTACACTGGTCGTATTTCTGGAAACGCCAGGCGGCATAAAGCTGGCCGACCAAAGCCAACGCTGATCCCTGACGTTTGCAGGCGTAAACTGCCTGATCATAGGAGAAAGCTCCGGTTATGTAGAAGACAGAGCCTGTCGCCAAGAAACAGACACAAAAACACAGATTCAATTCTGCTCAAAAATAAAACAAATATGTGAATACTTCTATTTTGACTTTCATTATTTCATGCTCATCGTTTTTAACTAGTGAACAATTCCCCTAATTTATTAGCTGCTTATTAAATGTTCAGCTATATAAATTGTACATTTTTCAGTTAAATAATAATCTAAAGTACTTTGGATTGGTTTGTGTCTTGACGGTACTATAAAAATAAACTAGACAACACACAGAACAAGCCATCATTTAACTGGTTTGCAATAACTTGCAGAATTTGACTTATTTTGTTGTGAAGCTCAGACTTGATGTAACAACCAACCTATCAAAACCCACCATGTTTGTGACACAGCTGAAAGGAAGAACGGGTTATGTTGGTAATTGTTCAAATGTTAATTTGGACATTAACACTGAATTTGTTTTATTTCACAATTATTATTACATCAAATGCTAGATTATATCCCCTTGAAGATATTGGGGTAGTCAGGCCAAAAGTTATTTTAAGTTTTGTTTTCCGGCTCACCAGGTATCTGGGATGTGAAGCAGAAAGCATCAAACCGATCATGGTTCTTATTTTTTGGCCCATAACTACGAATGCCTGCAGGCAAGTTTCCTCCACAGACGGGTCGAGGATGAACGATTGGATAATGAACTGTTCCATCAAGAATCCAGCCTGCATTGCACCAGTCCAACCCCTCCGTCCACGCTGCCAGAAGAAGTGGGTTATTGTGACAAGACCAAACAGCACATATACTGCTTCCATGAGGGTAAGAAATGTTTTGGGATAACGGTAATACCTCTGTAAAGCTGGCTGTAGGAGGCCAGCATGCCATCTTGCTCAGCACAAGCCAGCTCGGCTTCATGGAAGTTGAATTTGTAGCGTCCGTGTTGACTTTGATATGGGAAAACCACACCTAGAAGCAGAGCTCCTGTTTATGTTTCCTGAGCCCTGATAAAAACACTCCCTCCATGCAGGTTTTAGTACAATCCAGGTAGAAAGTGCATTTCAAATTAGGACATTTGAATCACATTGCACTAAAGGTAAAGCTGTATTGTCAAACGCCAGAAAGAAAAACTCTTAACATTATCAACAAATACTGGTAGTAATTAGTTACCTTCAATCCTCAAAGTGATGACAATGTTCTCATCCTCAATGCCGTTTATCAGCTCACACTGATACCTGCCATCGTCTCCCAGCTCAAGATGGCTGAGCAGCAGGGAGGCGTCCATGGTGTGAGCCCTCAGCAGAGAAGCCCGCCGTCCAACAGGCCCATATGGCTTAAAAGCATTAGCATTTGATATCATTATGATATTCTGTTGTCCTAAATGCTCAGGGTCCAGCTTTGTCCATTTAATCTTGTAGTGGTTTGGTTTGATTCGGAGGATGCATGGCAGCGTAACGTTGTCTCCTCTTCGGCCGGCCACCTCCACCTGCACAGGAGGCTCGAGGAGATACTGAAGCTTCTTTGGTTTTGATGGTTCTGTGGGGAAAATAACACAGTCCCAAATATAGACATTAGGTTCAAAAATATTTTATTTTGTGTATTTAGCCAATGAAAAACATTTAGGACATGATCTATGATCATTGGTAGACACCAAGCTGTATAGCCAAAGATGCAACTTGTCTTCAGACGTTATTTCATTATTCCTTTTATCATTTAACTGTTAACTCAGTTTTGCACAACTTTTATTGTAACTTTTCACAATTCTTATTTTTTTATGTACTCCATGTTATGTAAGGCAAAATTTATTTTTGCCTACTGTACAATTTTGTGACAAAAATGTAAGAAACCAATCACTAAATTAATTAAACTCTGACTTCTTAAAAATGTGTTTTCGCTCAGTTAGATTTGTTAAAGTGTTTGTCATCTGATTTACCCAAAATTAATGGTTGATATGAATGTCTTACAGGTTCAATACACATTTCAAATGCAAAAAGTCGTCATATTACACAAGAGAAGACTTAAATGTTTGATAATATCTCAAAGCTCAGTTAAACTCAGACCTGATAATAATATGTGACGTTCTGTTACATCATAGCATTGAATCTGACATAATGAGACACAGTCTGAAGAGAGAGTGGTGATGAAATAAATTGACAACTGTACCTGCTCTGTGGGGGTTATATGAAGCTGAAGACTGGATAAAGTAGTTTAATGTTATTACAAGAATCCCAGCAAAATTCCCTCTTATGGGTGTCATTTCTCTCAGCTCCTGCAGTCCACAAGAAATCCTGTTAAATAGATTGAAATTTAATTACACATAATTTCTATTAGGAGTGGTTGAAAAAACATTGAATCGAGACTAATTCAATTTAGACATTTCTTATTTTTAACAATAATTCTATCAACTAATTTTCTTTAAGTTATAAAGACAATTGTACAAACCTGTATTCTTGATTTGGTGTCCGATTGCCCAGTCAGCCCCCAGTGCTGTCCGACATGACAGTGATAAACGTGTCCAATTAAAAAAAAAAGGAATATTCTTAACCTATTCCATTCAGTCCATTCCTTATTTCCGCTGTCTGCTTTGTCTAAATGTTGAATGTTCATCTGTCTTTACCTCTCACTTCCGTCCCCCTCTTTCCTGTCTCTGGTCATAAGCTCCTCTCTGATTAACAATGTGTAAACAGGACTGTTGTCCTCTCTGCTCCAGATGTTAATGACCAAATGACGGTCTGACATTCATAAGCTTTCTTTCTGTGTCTTGTTGTCTACGACAAGTGACAAGATTTAAAACAGAATACTGGCTAACTAATGGAAAAGACAAAACAGGCCCTAAATCTATGACAAACTGTGGGGAAATTGCAGTAAATTATTTCAGGCAAACTACTAAAGGTAAAACAGGATTTTTAATTGATTTATCCATGAGGGGAAAATGATTGGAGTCTCAATTTTTGAATTATTTTGAAACAGCGAATATTCTACTCATAACCAGCTTTTTGAGATATAAGTATTTCAGTGTTTAAATGCATAAAAGCAAAAAACAATGTAAATGTTCTGAGAGTAGCCAGTTTGATAGGAAAGCAAAACAGTGTAAAAGGCAAAGCACTGCCTTTCTTTCCAGTGAGTTAGCTAATTTGACCAGAAATGCTCCATAACTCCTGTTTTCAATACTTTTCAGACATGAAATCATTGGTGATGAATTAACTCATCACTCCATTTCTTGTATTAACTCATTGAATCTTGCATAAACTCTCCAATACAAATATAACAATGGTTTAGACTTTCAGAAAAAAAAAAAAAAAAAGAAAAAAAGCTATTGCTGGACATTAGGTGAAACAGATTGTGTTGATTCAGGACTGTGAAACTGAACACATACTGAAAAACATCTTTTATGACAGATTCACACAGATATATGTGTTGGAACATAAATCCCAATGACTAAGATTACACATTTTGCATCCACAGTTCTGTAACACTATGCCATTCATATGTGCAATAGCTAATTCTTTAGCAGTAGAGCAGAAACTAGGCAGAGTGAAGAATAAATGACCAAGGAATACACCACCACAATGTGCATTTAGCCATGTTTGTTTTTGTCCTCATTGGTCTGAGGCATAGCTGGAGAAGATGCTGTGCCGGATCTGGTTTCCGCTGCCTCTATTCCCTCCAGACACAAAGGTGCCATTGTGAGAATCACCCCTTCAGTGCAGGAGCAGCAGGCGGTGAACATGCAAAAAAACAAAAAACAAATTGCAATAATAGGATTCCTCTGTTTTTGCTGCTGTTGCTTCTCCATTGTGCCTCGTTATCAATGGGACTCTTTCTTGTCCTCCAATTAGTATTCAGATAAACACCTCTTGGTGACAGTGGCCAACTGCTCCAAGAAGGACTCTCCAACCTTTTACTTTTCAATCACAATTTTCTTCAGAGGACTAACCCTAATTATTCTGAATGGCATGACTGGTCTGGAGTTGTAAGATTTAATTAATAATTTTGTTTTATGACCTCAGCAGCTGTAATTAGATTCCATAAATGACAGTGAAGTGTTTGCAACACAACCAGGAGATTAAAAACAAAACAAAACAAAACAAAAAAAAACAGGGTTAATAAATATAAATTCAAACCCACATCTTTCTAAACTCTGATGCACTGTACAGTTTTAGTTTTTCATGAAAAAAAAATGAAACAGCAAACAAAGTTTGTTTCTTGATCATTTTCACGCTGTCAAAAATTATGTTTGACTTAAAGGGAAAATATGGTCTATTACAATACTTGTGTTGTTTCAAACTATTAGACTGCAGAATAATAATGGAGGTTGTGGTTTGATGTTTTATGTTCTCAAGATTGTATTGCTGCCTTATTTGTTTAAAACATGTTTTTTTTTTTATGGACAGGCAGCAGAAACATTGCCCTCTACTGTTCACCTTTTGGTGAACAGAAAAGCCAGTGTGACTTTTCTTACATTTTATGCCAATTTTTAAAGTCTCAGATTTACTTGTGTCATTTCCAGTTAAAAATTTACATGTGAGATTGATTTGAAATGCATAAAATTTCATATAAAAAGAAAAAAAAGACTGATTTCTGAGTGCATTTTTGTTGAATCCATTACTTGTGCAGTTTGTTTCATTTCCATCATTTGCTCTCTGCAACAGCTTATGGTTCTCAGTGATGTATTTCAGCCTGTAGGCAAATTCTCCCTCTGGCTTTGTGACATTTCATTTCAGTGTTATTGATGACTATGTTGTTTTTCTGAAAGTCACTGGTGATGCAGGTGCTTCATCAAAACGCCTGTGACACTGGAATCATGCTTCCCTTACTCTCCAATTATGGTTACAAATTCAAAGTTTGTTGGACGTGTCCCCACTTTGTCTGGAATAGATAAAAGGTGCTGTGATACATCGATCCATCCTAACTGTAATCGCTGACTGACTGAACGTCCCATTTTCAAGTAGATGACTGATGCTGATATGAGAGCAGGTTTCCCCGCCTTCAGCCCTGATGTAGTATCAGCCTCCACAGTGGTGGTGCATCAGTGCGTGACTGTGTTGACAAAACCCTGTGACAAGTGGTGGGGTCATAAACTCACTGCATGACTTGAAGAAAGAACGTCCTGACAACTCTGAATGACCCTTCTTCCTCTTGTGGAAACATGAAACCCCGAAAACCTTTTTAACATTCCAACAAATTCTCCTGAGGATTTCACCAAAGGTGTTTTAGGCAGAGACAGATTTACTTTCATTTGAGCCTATTCTGACAGTTTGTGTAGCGTGACCTTCTTATTCAGCAACCAAAGAACTTTATAACTGTTTCAAGCATAAGTTGCTGTGACTTTTTTATGTAGCTTATCAATGCTCAAATTAAACACCAGTGTAGATATTACAGTAACTGAAATAACATTTAGTTTTGATAATTTATCTTTTTATTTAGAAAAGTTTTAATGGTCAGTTGAACTAAAGAAATTTTCAGCTGTTATAAATGAAATCTGTGATATAAATTTATAGGATTTATATCACACTATCACACTGTTGCATAACTGCCTTGCATTTAATCATAAGAGGATGAGGAGTTCCAAGAAAATTGTGCTTCAGCACCTTCTTGGTGAAAATGACATTTTTATCTTTTGACATTAAACACAGTTTTCATATGCATAACATTTTTAATCTCAAGCTGAACATTCCTACTTAAACAATTATTTGAGAATTGTCTTCAGAAGCCAGAATTTCAAGTGGTAAAGCTGGAGATCTCTCCACAACCCCTGACCTCAAAATCCAATATGGCTGTCATTCAGCTAAATGCAACAATAAATTATTTAAAAAAAACATTTAATGTTAAGACGTTTGTGCCACTTAATACTAATTGGTAAAATCAGTCATTGTTCTCAAATAAAGGTTTGCTTTTCTCTGTCACTCAGTGTGGTCGTTTTGTATATTTTTTATATGTCAGATTAGTTTCAAAGGCTCCCTTTGTGCGTTTTTTTATTTTTTTTTTACTTTTATGTGGCACAGTTTATGTGGTACCCCATACAGTTTATGATTGCATAGACATGAAATATGACTCTTCCCAGGTTTGTCTTACTTCTTTTCCAGGTGTTGTGAAACATCCCATCAAGGAATCCCTTCCAGAAAAGTGTTCACATCGTTTAGGAGCTCACCACTGTTCTTTGTTTAGCTAATCTGTACTGATTATAACATTCTTAGTTATAAAGAAGTTGTTTAAATCTACAAGCAAACCAAAGCACAAATTAGCGCCTGAAGAAACAAGTCATGTTTGACCTATTGTCCTCTACACCGAGTGATTTACTGATGGGCCTGTTGTTCCCCAGCCAATCACTTTGCTGCTAGCTTAGTTGTGTAACATGTGGATGAAAGTCACACGGGTTGATAGCAATCTAAGTGCAGATATGGGAGAACGATATCTTTATGTTCCCATTCCTGTTTTGCTCTGTTAGGCCTGCAGCGCTTCTACAATCCCTCTTCTCCAATGAAGGCCTCAACACACTGGAGTAGCAGAACTGTGACAATTTAAGCTCCTGTAACTGAACATTAACTTTCAGGATGTCATAGCATTTTTTACCTTAGTCAAATTGAGTCAAGGTAAAAGATAACTATTCCATTTATTTTGGGTTTTAAGTGTTAGTTTTTAAACAATTTCTGGTGCCTAAGCAGTTTCTCAAATTAACACTGACTTTATATATCCCACCAAGTCATTATTTATGTACCATAAACGGAGCAGAGATAAGCAAAATTAAGTCCATTTTTTGTCTTTTGTTGGTATAAAGAGATCAAACAGCGGCCAAGTGCAACATATAGCAGGGTGGAGGAGTGTGTGGGGTAAAGGTAAAGTGATTACCCCAAATGAGGCAGATGGTTGGGATGTGATTTTATATTGCCCTGGAAATACATTCATACCCATTTCGTATATTCTCACATTCCAAGAGGGAACTTTAATAGATTTTATGTGATACATTAGCTAAGATTTTATTTGTAAGGACCCAGTTCTGTTGTATCTTTTTACAACTCAGTGTTTTTATTTCTTTCTTGCTAGATGCCCTGCCTTTGCCATGTCGCATCTGTCCTGCCTGGTAAAATAAAGGGAGAAAAATATAAAGCTAAAATAAAATCCATAATAAAGAGTGCAGAGTAAAGATCCGATTTTGATGTGTTTGGGACATTATTCCCATTTCCATAGAATGTTTTTTCTGCTTAACTTTTAGAAAGATGTTGTCAGGAAATGCATTAGGACAGCAAGCTAAATGTTTCCTCCTTGCCTGTGTTGGTGTCATTTTTGGCTCCCTGTTTAAGAAACTTAAGGGTGTAGTACTCGTACAGCCTCCAGTTTTTCTATTAAACTGTTGCATAACATGCAGGTTTAGTCTCGCCTATGTATCTTCTTATCTGGTGCCACTTTTCTTGTGGTCTCCGTGTTGTTACTATAGAAGTCGTCCTGCCTCTGATCGGTAGATTGTGATTGTGTTATCACAGGGGCCCTGGAGCCAGCCAGCTGCACTGATGGAGTGACAAGAATCACCAACTACTGTTAAACTATCCGTGGAATCCACACTTGGAGCTTTGTGAAACGTGTGGGTCACAGCCAACATGTCTTCATGCTCCAAAGACAAACTGGTTTCTTGTCTTTCATGCCCTTTTTATGCAACAGTGACTTATAGTAACAACTTCTTTTGATTTAAATTAAATTGTCAGCTGCCATGTTGTCTGTCAGAAGTGACAGTGGAAATATGTAAAATTGTT